GTTTTTGTTATGTAAACTGTGTGTATTTGGGTCCAGTCACAGAGTTTGAAAAGCTTCCAAAAATCACATCATCCATAGGAGGTATCAGGAGAACAAACAGAAAAATATAAACACAGTGATCATCACCACAGACCAACCAATCCTCTGCGAGTAGAATTTAGTCCCCAGGAGTAAGGTATTTCAAAAGAAAATAGGGGGGAAAAAAATCAAGCACAAAAGACAATTACAGAGCAAACAAAAAACAGACCTAAAAAACCTGTTCCCAAAGCATTTGAGCTGAAAACTGACTTGTGAATTGGAGCAATGCATACTCTGGTGTTTAACCATCTCCCACACGCTCCACAAACACACAAAGATCTAACTCTTTACTTACTTTTAATGAAGATGCCAAGCTTAGAAACATGTGGCACTGGAGAGATGGACAGCATATAATCCAAAATAAATGCCTTTGTCAGGGAAATATTTACAGAACTTGGTTCTATTCAAGCAGTTCTTTTTTCCTGTGTTATGAGAAAGGAGAAGCAAATGGCCTAATTTTCTTTTACCACAAAACAAGCTTTCCAGGGGCTCCCCAGCTCAGAGAAATGACACAATATTCATTAATGCAAATTCAGGACCACACGACTTCTGCAGACTCATTTCCTGGAACATGCCAAGGATGCAGGGAGAGAGATGCCCAGTTCAAACACAGCTCAGGCATAAAAGGGGTTGGAAAGCTGAGATTTCAATGTTAATAGGTGTGTTGGAAAAGCATCTAAGAATCTCTATCAGTTTGAGAACACTCACAAGTAATCAGCCTTCCTTCCAAACTGAAAAACAGACCCTAAAAAAAACCCTTTTAAACTGTAAATGCTTTTGAAGACAAGAACACAGAGAAGGAGGAATATTTACACAAGGTAGCCATTTTTAAAATCGAATTAATCAATAAATATTTCAATTTAGAACATGTTTTTTAAAAATAAAATCATTATTTCATCTCCCCTGGAGTACATTATTTCCCTTTATGATGGATTTTACTATGAGAAAGGGCATCCACAGATGTGCCTAAATATTACAAACTTCTTGGAGGAGCATGTGCACACGTGTGTATGAGAAAATGGAGAAGGGTTTATAAGAGCAAAAATTATTATTTTCAGTATCCAAGGTCTTAGAATTCTATTACAAAGCAGAGTAAAGGGATGAGGGGAGGGGGAAAGTCCATGAAGAACAGGTTTTCCTCAACACTCAGTCAGGTCCCAGCATCATAAGAGAGCAAACACGACTCTGAAGCACAAGATCTTTTTCCTTGATACCAATTGGAAGCTATGAAGTACAGGAAGTATAATTCCTATTAATTTTGAAGAGTTTTGAAAAGGTATTTGCATTAAAATGGTTACTAAGCCTATTCTAGAGTAGGCCTAAAGATTTTTAACATTTTCTTTTATTTCCAGCGTGTGCTAACCACATGAGTTGATAACATCTACTTCTGAGAAGTTATCCTTTCTATGTAGTTTACATAATGTGCATGTAACTTTGTCAATAGTTTAAAAAAAATAGAACCCAGTTTAACTTAATCATCAAGTAATAAGGAGTCCAGTACAGCAGCAGTAAAAAACCAGTTTTTTGAAAGCTAAATACATGTTTAGAGAAAAAGAAAAGGAGCATAAGTCTGTACATACCTATATATTATATATTTGCATCAGAAATCCTTGCATTCTGAGTCTCTAACTGTAAACAAATGCTGATTTTTAATAATGATCAGAAGGGAGAAACTGCCAAGAATAAAAAGTTATTTCCTGAGAGAAACTGTGTACACAGAACTCGCGTATTATGCCTGGCTGTTGTTTATTGTACAAATACATATTAATATTAAAGCAGTGTTGTGTTTGTCAGCGCTGGTGTCGTTAATTATTACTGAAGTCCTCTGTCAGCATCCCAGCCTCTCAAGGGGGCCAGCAGCTCGGAGATGAGAGCCACACCTTCATTCAGCAAGTCCACCTCAGTCTGACCTGCCCATGGTCAGTCCCAGCAGGTCTGAGCAACCAACCACTGCCAGCAGATTAAGGAGCAGTGTTTGGAGATGGAAAATGGTGAAACACCAAGGACAGATGGAAGGGGAATAAAAGGGAAGTGGAACATGAGAGATGACCACAGCTGATTTAAACTACCATTTGCAAATGAGGAGCTTGCTGCTGAAAAAGTAAAAAAAACAAACAAACAAACAAACCAAACCACTACAAATCAAAACACCAACAAAATCCACAAAGTGCCAAAGAAAACAATGTATGCAGATTTCGATGGAAGTACCCCAAGGACTCAAAGTCAATCCCATGATGTTCCACTGAAAAGCCACTTCTGGTTTTTATTGGGACTCAGATGTAATATACATTTATCATAAATATACTATTTATCAGATCACCTTACTATTAATTACAGCTCTAAAGACCACTTTGATGGTAGAGTTTAAATGCAGGAGGCATGTTAGCTTTGGGTTAGACTTTCTTATATTTCCCTTTCCTAAAAGCCTATTGGTGAAAAGCTGCTATAAAGGTTTGTACCTCTATTTATTTACTAGCCTAGTAATGCTGCTACACAGCTCCATTATTAACAACTTCAACGCAGATGAAAGCACAGATGAAAAGTGCTTTCATGTCTTGAAATCACTTAACAATAATAACCATATCGTCTTTTATGACTTGGGGAGGGAGAAGGTAGGGGAGGGAGTTTTCATTCAGCAGCTTTCCCTTATTAAATAAGGATCACAAATTATATATTTTTCTTATTTCTCACTAAGGCTGCGCTTCCCAGACAACAGACATTGAAGGCAGTTATCTCATCCTAATAAATATTTGACACTGGGATCATGTGTCTCTTAGGGAACCATTAAACCCAAATTTAAGTCTTGATTCAAGAGAATTTAAGTTACATTACGAGCATTGGCTCTAACAGGGAACTTGTCTTAAAGCCTTTTTCCCACACAAGCTCCCCTACACCTGAATTCCACATTAGGGGCTTCCTCCTCAAGCTTCTGCCACCTACCTCTACCTCAAATTTTGTCTGATTAGACAACTGTACAGATATTAAAAATAAAGGCAACAGATTGCAGAATGCCACTCAAAAACCTAACACAACAAAGAAAACCAGAATAAAAGAAAAAGCGTTATTTAATGTCCTGAATCGAAATCTACGTATCAAACATTTAATTTTCCAAAGGTCACGGGTTCTGGAAAGAAGCAATAAAACTAAAATTGCCAAAACTCAGTTGGATTTGGAAGGGATGCATTAATGTCTGATGACAAGATGATCACAAGCTCATCTTGGTATTACTGGGAATATAAGGAGTGAGGGAAAGTGTAGTGAGCACAGGAACCTGCAGCAGTGACTGTCCCCTCTACAGCACCACACGGCTCCCTGCTGACACTGAACACCTGATGTGAACAACAATCAGAGGAGAAAACATTCATTTTTCTCAGCAATCAGAGCTGCCCTGGAATAGGTTGTAACAAATTAAATTTAGATTCATCAAACTGGTCTGGGGTGCTTTGGTTTGGGGTTTTGTATTAATTGATTATTTATTCCCCCCCCCAGAAACCTATTCAATATACAAGGAGAAAATGTGCAGCATGAAAGACCCTAGAGGTGATTAGTACAGCATGGTAACACAACTTCATGGGAAAGAAACTGAGTGTGTTACACTTCCCCCAAGTGTCCCTCTCTGAGAATTCTACTGTGATAACTTCATTTTCTCTTTGATGTTAATAAATATTGCAGACAATCTTAAGGGGCATTATAAGGGATTTGCTGTAATCATTGTCACTATATTTTTTTAGCTCCTGTTAACGTAGCTATAGTATTGAACAGGGTACAAAAAGCACGTAATTTTGAAGTATAAAAGAACAAAAACCAGAATTGGAGCTGACACACAGGAAGGTGTCAGCTGCTGTTCTTTACTGAAATGATCTCACCATACACAGAGGTGCTGGGACACACAAAGCAATTCAACATTGGTGAAAAAAATTCTAAATATTTCAGAAGACTGCTGGGTCCTGTTTAATGTGATTTGGGGGGTTTAGCCTTCATTTCAGTAACTTCAATCACACACAGTGGTTGTTCTAACATTGCACAGCAGAGATTTGTGGCTAAACTAGATCTGACTTGAGAAGGAGAAGGAATGGATTCAGTGTAACAACTGGCTAATAAATTCTGCATCAGCTCAAGCCCAGAGTTTGGCTCAGGCAGAAACACAAAATCCACGAGCTACGAATGTCAAATGAGGAACTCTAGAACAGCAAGGCTTGCAATCACCACTTTGAAATTCAGTTTAAAACTCTTAACAGCTCAGTCTTTTAAGCAGAAATCGCTTAGAGAATAAACGCTGAGAAAACCTTTCAAAGAAACCTCTTTAAAGAAAGGTTCTCCAAAATCTTCATTTTTTGCCTTAAAGAACAGCTACCTTCCCCATGCTGGGTCAGCAAATGAAGTCAAAGTAAGAATTTTCTTTAAAAAGAAAAGAAAAAAAAAAGTTTGATAATTGGTTCACTTGGGTTGAAAAATACACGGCCTATAGAGAAATTCACGTATTAGCAGAAGATTGCAAAATATTCCAGATATTCAGAGATGGCAGAACTATTCTCAAGCTTTTGACATATCCTAGCAGGAAGTATAAAAGTTTCTATTCATCTTAAAATACAGCATTCAAAAAGGACTCCTCGGCTTTAAATAAATCCTGTAATGTTTGAGCGCTCCCTCCGATCCACAGAAGGACTTTACAGATCGATTGACTGATGAATATCCAGGGCAAGTACTGACTTACAGACACATTTCTATCTAAATTAGGGAAAATCTAAGACCATGAATAGCTCAAACATGCATTGGACCTGTCATTTTAGCCAAGACTCTGCACATCTGTTCTGAAGATCTTCAGAGAAGAAGCTTGGCACAAAAATACTAAACTTATTCTGAATTACTTTGGACAAATATTATTACTGATATGATAAGGAAAAAAAAAAAGTTTTAAAGGGGAAGTTTATTCCTGAGGTTAACATGTAAACATCTTAGGAAAAGCCCAGCAGAAGTCATGCCAGACTAAGGTGTTTCAGGTAATATCAGACATGCCATCCTTTGTGACTTCACACTAAAATTTCCAAATGCTGCACCACAGTAGCACCTACAGCAAAGAGGAACTTCCACTGGTTTTGGCAGATTTGTCAAAAATGAGCATACAAAACTTATTTCAAAAGATGCAGACAATGACAAAGTTTTGAAGTTTTTTCAGAGCTAAACTTCCACCACCATTCAGTTCTCCTATTAAATGCTTTATTCACACCAGCCTGGGCAGGTGTTGATAGTTCAGACATCAGCTTCTTGAGGAAGCATGAGACAAGTCAGAGCAGGACAATCAAATACAGCAGCAACCCAAGAAGAACTGTTTGAGACCTCTGAGCTCTGAATATGGTTTGGGTTATCAGCATCTCTCTGAGGAACCATCAGAATCACAAATGGAAGTAGTGCAACTTGGCCTCACGCTTGCACAGATCTCCCAAATCCAGTAGAGTAGGATCAGGCAGCAGCCAAAACCAGCTGCTGTGAGCAGTTCCAGTGCCATGGAGAAACCAAACACTGCAGTAGGTCAAATACATTTAGCTTTGCTAAAAGAAGAGACCCTATATTGAGGAATATATCTGCAACTGCTTAAAAAAAAAGTCAGGCTTTTTTATAATAGAAAAACAACAAAAAAATCTCAAAAGACTATTTGTTTTAAGCATGTTTATTTCCTACAGAATTTAATCCCATCAAAACACCCACTCAATTTAGAATAAATTTACATGTATAAATTTCTAGATGTCTGCAGCTGGAAACTGCAAGCATAAGATGCAGTGAACAGTATTTCCTACTATATGAACCACATTTTTATCCATTCAATGTTAATGTGGAAAGTGAGAACATCTACCAAGTCTTAATCTGGATCTACTTGCCACATTATCTCAAATTTCATCTCAACAGAAGAACTGTTCAGTCAGAAAGAATCGTTATCCAGACTTATTCTCTAAAGAAATTTGCTTTCCAGACTCAACAAAAGTAAGAAAATGAGAAGTTACTGCTTGTATTATCTAACCAAAAACCTTACTTTGGTTCTCTAACATTACTCATTTAGACACAACAACACAGACCAGCAGGGGGAAAATAGTAATAAAAAAAAAAAATCTGAGTGTTTCGATTCAGTTACCAACAATTTGCACTCCCCTTCATAAACAGGGCAGATAAGAACACATTAAGAGCAGGAGGAGGATGAACAGTTGTCAAATCAATAAACAAGAGAAAAATACCATCATGAAATGTTGAATAATGACCTGGAAACTGAAATGAGGCACTTGAGCTGAAGCATCAGTCTCCCAGATCAGGACAGGTAATATTTAGATGACTCCTGTACACCAAGGCAGAAGGAACCACTTTGAAAGTGGCTCCAGTGGCTCAAACGTTCCAGATGCAGTTTGATGGGTTATCTTAGGTAAACACCCACGAGCAAAGAAATACCCTGCAAGAAGGGAGATTCCCTCTGAAAACAGAACTGGGTGTTCGACAGACCAAGCACAGAGCAAACACTCCCAAATGCCTGCTCACAAATGTGAGAGAAACAGGGGATTAGACAAGGGCTTAATTATCAGTACTAATTATTAGATAGTTTGATCTAAAGGTGAGGACAGACACTGACTGCTGGCAGAATGCTTTCAACAACGTGTGACATGATATCCAGCACAAGAAATGACCTTTCACTGAAAGATTTCCACAAATAAGTGTGATAACCTAAAATTCCCTGAGTCACAACACTAGAAATGTGCAGCAGAGAACTCTCACATGCCATTAACAAGCACATACATAAATCAGTAGAATTTCTGCAATTACAGATGTTCTGGATGGTTTACCTTCCATTGAGAGGGAGCACAAAAGCTACACATTTATGCCTAAAAGGTGCCTATACCTTATCTTATATAAACCATATCTGATCCTTCAACTGAAAGTAAACCAAGTCCTTGAAATGTAAAAGCCATTCCTAATTGTTGACTGAGTACCAATTTAACCAAGCCATTTGGTTGAGTTAACCAGCTGGTTAAACACCATTCCTATGAAGCCACATTCACTGATAGTTTCAACAGAGAGAGTTACAAATTACTGAGAGAAGCAAATATCTGAGAGTAAAACTGTGTGTGTGTGCAGTGCAAAGGCACATTCACAGGTTTGTCAACTAAAAAAAACATTTAAATTCCTTGTTCATCAATTTATTGGACATAACAGGTATTTAAAGCAAGGACCATTTTATAACAGAAGAGATTTCTTCCCCTTGCTTACAAGTTCACACAGGCAGGTAATTTCAAATATTAGTTCTAGGGGCTCAATGCTGCAATAACATATTACAGCCAATTACAAAAGTAATTAGATGGGTTTCCTCCTTTCAGATTTTATGAGGTGGATGGTAAACACCATGGGTAAGCAGTGACAAAATGAAGTCAGAGGAACCAGCATTCCCATTCCCTCTGTTCAATAGCACAGCAGTTAAGCACAGGAATGGAATTCCAAGGCAGTTGGCTAATAATGAATGTATGTTGGCCCTAGGGGTTTTACCATCACAGTGTTTTATTTATCTTTCCAGTACAGGTAATGTGTTGAAGACAGACAAATTTAGGTGAAAATGCCAGTGTTATCCCAAAATTAACCTAGGAAACAGAATACAAAATGAGCATATTGGTTGACCCCAAGATCCATGCCAAAGGCACCATCTGGTTAAGGGTCACTAGCACTTGTGTCTGTCAGGTGTTTAGACCAGCAAATCCTGATCTGCCTAACTAAAAATTCCAAAAGTCCCAGAAAAGTTGAGAAAATAAAGGACTTTCTAATTTAACACCAAAGATTTGAAATAATGGTAAACTAGTATCCATTCTCCTACAGTTCTTTCATTCAAACTCGTTGTAACACTGGTGTATTTTAATAAGGCACAGAGACTGTTTACCCAGTATCGGTGTAAGAGAAAGCAGCTCTGCCTTAAACATACCTTGCCTTGGGAACTCATCGGACTCTCTGTGCACCAGGTCAGACACTCGATTCCCATAGTGCATCCTGGTGTCATGATCATAGGCCTTCAGTGTCTCACTGGAGCTGTAGGACTTCTGGGTGGGGACTCTGCAGTCCTCACTGTCCAGGGAGGAGCTGGTGTAGCGACACTCCTTCCCACAGCGGCCCCGCGTCAGGGAACGGTGTCTTCTGTCTTTTATATCCATTATTCTGAGGCAGGAAAGCCACTCTTATATTTGGGGTCACTCACTGTCACCTAAAAACATGAAAGGATAACAGAAGTGAGCAATGCTGCTGCCACATTTTGGTTTACTCTCCCTGACTTATCCTTGAGAAATGACGCGGCACAGATCGAGAAGAAAGGGAAGACCCACATGACACATCCTTAGAAATTGAAATAATTGACCTGAATGGGTGGGGAGAAAAAAAATGAAATGCTGTAAGAGAACTGCATTCTACCTAAATTATCATCCCACTGAAGAGTTGAAAAAATAATGATGAAACAAAAACACTGTCATCTTTTGATTTTTGAATGAGCCCTGGTAACAACACAACTGACAGAATTATATTTGTTCCTGTTATGCAACAGTACAAAGAAAAGCAGACTCAAACCAGCCTTAATTATTTCCCTTCTTCCTGCAGGAGGGCTTGCAATTAAGACTGAAGCATGCTGGAGAGTTGCATAGAGGAGATTATTCCTATTCATCCTTAATGCATTACAAAGCTGTATGTTATCCTTTAACGCGTTCACAAGCAGCACCAACTAATTTCAGTGCTCCTAGTTAACATCATTCAAGCCCAAAAGGTTGGGCTGGGGATCTCCAGAGGTCCTTTCCAGCCTTGGCATTTCTGCATAGTGCTGATTCTCTGAGCACACTTTGGGAATTGGCTGCTCCTGTGCACCACAGAACATGACTGGTTGTGCTTCTTCCCAGCCCCTCAAGATGACCAGTTTATCCATCTCAGCACTTGGAGCTCTTGAAAATTGTCTAAATCTCTTCTTGCTCACTGGACCAGAAAGAGAGAGAGCGTCTTACAGTCTTCTTGCACTCTCCTTAATTAGGACACCCTTACTGTCGATAGAGACTGTAATATATTCATAGTTAGCATGCATAAACTTCAAAATGAAAGATCCTGAAGAAAGCCAGAAATACGGGAAGCACAAGCACCCTACCCACTGGGGTACTAATTATTTGGAGCTGCTATTAGTATGTATGTCTTTCTCTCATGGCATACTATGCCCAGGTCTGTGCAAGTCCTGAGAAATCCTCATGACAAAACCTTTTGCTGGAAATCTTCCCACGTAAAAAACACCCTGCTTTGTTAGCGAGCAAAAATTGGAACGAAACCTCTTGCTTTTTCCATATGTGGCTGAGGAGCTGAAGAAATGGTTTGGGCAAATTTAGCTGGGATACTTGAAGAACTTCTCTTTGTCCCTGTCCAGGTTGCTACTCACAAGCCCACCCAGCAAAACAGGGCCAGGTCCTGCCCACCTCTGCCCCCAGAGGAGCAAACTCCAGCCAAAAGTGATAAAATTGTGGCAGGCAGCCCTGCCTTTCATTGTGGTAGTTGTCTGCACCTGCAGGAGGAGAGGTCGTAACACTGGCATGAGGATTGGCTAAATCACTGCTTGTTGGCTGGAACAGATTAGAGCCCTCAGAGAGAATAAATGTACTTGGCCAGAGGAGCGAGTGACCTGGAGAAAAGGTTTCTGGGTTTCATTTAGATTCTGACATTTAGACTTCTTGTGGGTTTTGGGTTTGGTTTTTTTTTTTCCCTTTCTTTCTCTAGTTTAAAGAAGAAAGTTAAGTACCCACGAGAAACAGCTGCTTTAAGCCACCCACAGGTACTCTGCAATCTGTGAGCGATAAGAAGTGTAAATATGCTTACTTTTTTTTTTCCTTTTTCACTTATTTTTAACATTTCAGAGGGGAAAAAAAAAGTCACAAAACACAACACACAGAAAAGCCAAAACAAAATCAGAGACATTGAGCACCTAAAACTGACAGGGTTAGTTTTATAATTTCAGATTAAAGAGAAAGGAAGACTCAATACACACTCCTGTTTCTCACTTCTCTGAACATCTAAACTGACTCCTCTGTATCTGAATTGTTCTGTAATATTTATTAAGCTGTCATTTGGTCCTGTAATATTTATTAAACTGTAAAGCATGTTAACTGTAGAGCACATTAACGCTGGTGGCACAAACACTTGCTTTCATTTAGATTAACAATCCCTGGCTCTTTGATCCCAGTTCAATACTCCCTCATCAAATTCAGATATCAATTCATCACAATTATGAACACAGAAACAAATAAATATATTACAGCATTGAGCAAAACCTGCCAATTACTCTCTGGATGTCTTCATGCTATTATTGAATACAAAAGCCTGTTATTCCATATGAATTCCATATTGTCTGTGAGGTCAGAAAAACAAACACCTTTTTGGTTTTGTGGCTGCTAAACTTTAAGCTTTCTGGCCTAATTTCTGTTGTCTCTGAAAGAACATTTAATTCCTCGCTATTATAGTTAAAAGAAGGATTTACTATGACAGAGGTAAAACTTCTGATATGAGAATTTCCAGAGTATGAGCTCATTAAAGCATCTTCCCAGGTGGACAAGAGTTTTTGAAACTGTTCCCTCAAAAATATTCTTTTGTAGAGTTTTGTGCAGTTACTCTACAAATACCAAACCAAACAGAACTGGTAAGACAATGCTGTACTGTGATCCCGCCAGGGAATATTCCTCAGTCCCCCACACGTGCAGAACGTGAAATGCAACGTCTGCACTGTTTCTACCACACCAAGTCTAACAGGTTAACACAAGAAAATAAGTGTAGAAATATGATAAACATGTCCCAAGAGCTTTACTTTGACCTTTCTCAGGGAAAACATTGTTACAAGAATCAGGCCTCATAATAATTTGATGAATAACTTGATTTTTATAATGCCAGACCATTAAAAATTACTTGAACTTTTTTCTCCCGAGCATGTGAGACTAAATACATCCACCTGCAACAAAGTATTCCCATTCTTCCCTCCTCTTCACCTGGGCTTTGGGGCTTTCTATGATCTCAAAGCAGTCAGGCAGAAAGCAGTTCCCACAGCATCAGCCAATAACCATTCTCAAAATTCAGGCAACAGTATCACCACACACTGCTTTAAATCCCACCAAGTGAAGTTGTAACACACTTCTAGGAAATCTGTTTCACTTTTTTTTTTTTTTCATACTTATCTTTTACAGATGAAATACTGATTCAACTCAACTCTAAACACCTTCCCTGTTAGATAGTGAAATCTTTATGTAATGTATTCCTGGAAAGGTAAGGTGTGATAGCTTTGGTTGAGTGAGAATAATGGTGAGATTCAATTGGAGTTTAGAACTCCTGATACTCTTGGAGTTGCTTGTCTCAAGGGCTCTCCATGAACAGTTTATTTTGAGTAATTGACCTAAATAGTAACTGATTTAACAATTTCTTTTGTTTCAAAGGATTTAACTAATACTGCTCATTCTGACCCACTTACACTACAGAGCAGTCCAACCACTAAGAACTGCTTTCAACTGTTTTTCTCATCTATCTTTGGTTTCATTATCTCAGAAGCACTAACAGGAGCTCCCCCTTTGAGTGAGGTATTTATTCAGAAAGTACTTATTGATGATCTATAATGGCCCACTACAGAGTTGGTCAAGCTTCACAGGAGTATAATCCCAGCTGACCCAGGCCTTCCACCAGGAGTCAACCCAAAGCAGTAAATGGCACGTGCTGTATTTGCTGCTGATGTAACTGGATCCTGTGTGCTGCTGGCACACGTGTCTAATGCACTTCCAACTCGGGACTCACCCAACATTACAGTCATTGTGCTTCTATGGAAACAATTTACCTGGACACAACTACAGCAGTGGGAATGGCAGCAGGAGTGGGGCAGTCCAAGGGCATGAAAACACTGTGACCTACAGGGAGAAGAGAGGTGGAGGGAAGGAAAAGAGAGAGGAGCTGAGGAGTGAAAAGCAATTTTTTGTTCAGGGGGTTTACAGTCTCGACCGCATTTGCTTGTGTTAGCTCAGTCAAACCAACAGGAGGCAGGGAGGGAGGGAGGGCTCACGATGACTTCGAATGGCTTAGTGAAGCTTCTGCCAAAACTCTCGCTAAATTTCAAGTTGATTCGTGCACTTCTCTCACTCAAGGCACGTGCTTGTTTCCTGCACTTCCTAATGATCTTCACACAATTGCAGTGTACATGGTCATCAGAACTGCCACTCACAGCAGGGAGAGGGCAGGAATCACCTGGAGGTTCCAGGGAAAACAAAAGCCCTTGGCTGTGCCCCAAAAATCACCTGGCCCAGCCAGATCCCAACACTGCAATAGTGCACAGGGTACTGGGAACAGCCTTTCTTCCCTCCTTTTTTTTTTTTTTTTTTTTTTAATCTAAAACAGGCAGTACATCATGTACCAACCTGCTCTTTAAAAAAAAGGTCTCTTAAAAGCCTGTTCTCCTTTTCAGGAGCAGCAATCGGAAATATGCTTGTGATTTAGAGATTCGAACACTGTTGATAATTTTATGCAAAGACTGTTTCTGAAATGAGAAAATGCATTAGTTCAGCTTTAGTGCAGCGCAAATTCTCAGGTAAAAAATAAAACAGGTATTGAAATGCTGTGGACTTTGATGATTTTAATATTAGTGGAAAAGTACATCTCTATTTCTGCATCCCTTTTGCTTTTTTTAAAAAAAAGGTAGTAAATAAAATGCAATTTTTAAAACAGATACTCCTATAGCGTGTACACTTTGTTAGGTGAAATAATGTTGATGATGAATACATTGGTTTTGATTTGCACCAAGTCAAAAGTATATTTAGACAGTCTGTTGGGTGTAATAATGCAACTTCATTTTTCACTGAAAAACTGTTAGTCTGATTTTTCATATTCTTATTTTTTCCCCCTCCAAATACTGAATTTTCCAATTAGTGTGCCACTCTACGTATGTGTTAAAAATTAGATGCTTTTTAAATTTAATTTTTTGTTTTAAATAAAAGCTATAGGAACTATTTGCAGACTAAGGACAGTCAAAACGGTACATGCAACAACAAAACCGGGCACTGTGCCAAATCTTTATCTCAGATATGTATTTTTATCAACTTAAATATACATATTTTTATTTCCAGCCTATCTTGTGAGATTTCTTTACTCCAGGAACTCACAAATCCCACAACTGTTTAAATCTATTATGAAAATAACATCCCATTAAGAAAATAAGAT